TATTGGTTCCAGGAGCTGCCGCACCGAAGCTCGTGACAAAAGACATGTTGAAAAAAATGAAATCTGGAGCAGTCTTGGTTGATGTTGCAATTGACCAGGGTGGATGTTTTGAAACGAGCCGTCCAACAACCCATGATGACCCGACTTATGTTGTTGATGGTATCGTTCATTATTGCGTTGCAAATATGCCTGGCGGTGTGTGTCGGACTTCTGCATTTGCTTTAAATAATGTGACATTACCATTTATTCTAGCCTTGGCAGATAAGGGTTATGAAAAGGCCTTAAAAGAAGATCCGCATCTTATGGCAGGGCTCAACGTATGTCGAGGCCATATTACTTATGACTGTGTTGCGAAAGATTTGGGGTATGACTATGTTGCCCCTAAAGACGCTTTATAGAACCAAATATCTACACTCCTTAAATAAAGAAGAAGGACCTGCTTTTGTAGGTCCTTCTTCTTATATATAGCCCATCAATTTAACGATTTCTTATCGTCATTTCGCTCGTCGCCTATTTTTATAGGCTTCCTCATTCCTTCCTTGGGCAATCGTTAACTCAACGCACTATACAACACTCCACGAGAAAAAGTTAACGCGCTGGTCCTTGGCCTCTATTATTGGAAGGGAGAATTCGGCTTAATAAGTTTGACAGACTGCTGTTGCTTGTTGTTTATGCATTTCATGCTAACTCCAAGAACCTTTCTTCAAAATCTGCTATTTCAGCCTCGGCCCTTTCTAATTGTTGACTTAGTTCTATTAACTCAATGGCAGCGGACTCTGCTTGTGAGCGAAATCTCGCTTTTTGTTGGCCAGAATGTTCTAGGCATCTTCTCTTTTATGCGCTTCGTTTATAACGCGCTGAATTCGATCTTGTGATTGTTTTAATTGCTTTTCCAGTTTTGTTGAATGACGTTTTTCTTCTCTTAGCTCTTCTTGTAAACGTTCTACAAAGGCAACTGTCTCTTTAAGCTTTTTGTGTGCGTACAGAAAGGATCTGAGATAGTCCGAATACCTTGTGATTACTTTTTTGAAGAAGGGAGCGGTTCTTTAGAAGTTTCTCTTCTTTCTGATTGATGTAAGTCATCTTTTGAAGAAGGTCACTATGAGATTTTTCCGCAGAGCTCGCTTGAAATTCTAGTCGAGAAATTTGCTCACGGAGAGAGTCAATTGTTATAAAAGCATCTTCGGCGTATTTTAAGGCCTCGATTTTTATAATCAAGAGTAAATTTGTATTATTATTTTAATATAGAAAAAATAGTTTTAAATATAAGTTGAATATCGCTCGCAAAGTTTTGGTTTGTTATGTATTCAGCGCTAATTTTTAATTTTTTAGGTAAAATCTCTGTAACGTAAGTTTGTTCTGGATCAGAGGAGGAATCAAGAAGCTGATTTTCATCTTTGTATGTAATTGAAGCGTAATCTGTTATTCCAGGCTTTACACTAAAGATAATTTTTTTTATTTTTTCTGGGTAGTATTGAATGTAGTGGGGCACCTCAGGGCGTGGCCCAACAAAACTCATTTCCCCTAGGAATATATTGATTAGTTGTGGAAGCTCATCAATTTTATATTTACGTAAAAAAGAGCCAATGGGCGTGATTCTAGAATCTTTTCCCACAGTGATTTGTTTCCCTAAACTTTCTGCGTTTTGCACCATTGTACGAAATTTATAGATTTCAAAAATTTTTTCGGAACGCCCAACACGTTTTTGTTTAAAAAATACAGGGCCTGCAGAATAAAATTTGATCAAGATCGCACATGTTAAGAAAAGGGGAGACAAAATAATTAAGCTAATACCACTGACGGATACGTCAAAGATTCTCTTGATACAGATCATGAAAAAATAACGCGTAAAGCCTTAATTACGCGATCTTGATCAGCGTTTGTCATAGAAGTGTATAGAGGAATGCTGAAGATCGACTTGTACGCGTTTTCTGCTTCAGGAAAATCTTGTGGTTTTAAGTTATACCTGCTTTGCCAATATGGTTGGCGGTGAAGAGGAGTGTAGTGGACGCTTGTTCCAATACCTGACTTTGAAAGAGAAGTGAGAATTTTTTCTCTCGTGTAGCCATTAGCAAGCGCATCTTCGTTTAAGCGAATAGCATATATATGCCATGCGTGTAAATCCCCTTTGGGAGGACGTGCAGGAAGTATCAAAGGAAGGTTTTTTAGACTACTAAAGTATCTAGAGGCCAGCTCTTCTCGCCTTTTAAGAAATTTAGGAAGTTTTTTAAGTTGTACGCGGCCTATTGCAGAAGCGAGATCTGTTAAATTATATTTGAATCCTGGAGCAACAATTTCATACTGCCAACTTTGCACATTCTGTGATCTAAATCGGTCAAAGGCCTGGCTATTAATACCATGTAAACGCATTACTTTCATACGATCAATGATATCTGGATGGCGACTTGTGATCATGCCTCCCTCGCCTGTTGTCATGGTTTTATTCGCATAAAAGCTAAATACTGTTGCATCTGAATCTAGTGACCCAATTACTTTTTTCTTCCAAGTAGAGGGGAGTGCGTGAGCAGCATCTTCGACAACTTTTAAATCGTGTTGTTTGGCAATAGAAAGGATTTCGTCCATCTGACAAGACAAGCCACCATAATGTACAGGCATGATAGCTTTTGTTTTTTCTGTAATTGCAGAGCTAATTTTAGCGGGAGAAATATTAAGTGTGATAGGATCTATATCAACAAATATTGGATCTGCTCCTAAGTATCTCACAACTTCAGCAGTAGCTGTAAAAGTAAATGTTGGGACAATGACTTTATCACCGTGAGTAATACCAAGAGCTTCGAGAGCAAGGTGGAGCCCAGCTGTTGCGGAATTTACAGCAATACTATTGATGGTACCCCCTAAAAATTCAGAGAAATCTTCTTCGAATTTTTTAGTTTCAGATCCTGTTGTAAGCCACCCAGACTCTAAAACTTTTGTTACTTGATTCAATTCTTCTTTTCCAATTTCTGGAACAGAATAAGGTAGGAAAACTTCTTTCATTACTTGATCCATGTCATAAATTTTTGAAGAACATTCCAACATATTTTTTCAGTAAAGTCATGCTGTTCTGTACAATCTATTTTTTCTAAAAAAATTATGTTTTCAAACAACCTAAGATTTTAGAAAAAGCCGCTCTGCGATTTGGACAGCATTTAATGCCGCTCCTTTTCTAAGGTTATCACAGGTAATCCAAAAATTAAGCCCTTTTGCTGTACTATTATCTGGGCGAAGTCGACTAATGTAAGTAAATTCGCTAC